TTGGCTGTGGGTTTGTCGTATATATAATGTGGGTATGTTTCCTCCAGTCTAATTCCCTTTTAGAACTTTTATCATGAATGCATGCTGAATTTTGTTGAAAGCCTTTTCTGCATCTGTTGAGATGTCTTTGAATCCATTTGTATGATTTATGACACTTATTGACTTGCATATATTGAACCATCCCTGCATCTCTAGAATAAAGCCTACTTGATCATGGTGAATGATCTTTCTGATATGCGTCTGTATGCAGTTTGCAAGTATTTTGTTGAGAATTTCTGCATCTGTGTTCATTAAGGATATGGGGTATATAGTTTTCTTTCTGGTTGTGTCTTTACCTGGTTTTGGTATTAGAGTGATGCTGGCTTCCTAGAAGGACTTTGGGAGCTTTCCCTCTGTTTCTGTCATTTTGAATAATTTAAGTAGTATTGGTTGGAGGTCTTCTTTAAATGTCTGGTAGAATTCGGCTGTAAATCCATCTGGGCCTGGGTTTTTTTTAGTCTGGAGGTTTTGTATTACTGTTTCTATTTTCTTATATGCTATGGGTCTATTTAAAGTGTCGATCTCTTCTTGGTTTAACTTTAATTCCCATGATTTTAGATATCTATCCATACCTTTTAGCTTTTCAGATTTAATAGAGTGTAGGTTATTTATTGATTATTTATTTATTTATTTATTTATTTATTTATTTATTTATTTTGATCTTTTTGAGACAGGGTCTCCCTGTAGCCCCAGCTGACTTGGAACTCACTATGTAGACCAGGCTGACCTTGAACTCACAGAGATCCACTTGCCTCTGCCTCCTGAGTACTGGGACTACAGGTGTGTGCCACCACGCCCAGCTAGAGTATAGGTTTTTAAAGTATTCCCTTATAATGATCTGGATCTTTTTGGTGTCTGTTATGATGTTTCCCCTCTCATCTCTGATATTGTTGATTTGGATTTGCTCTTTCTTTCTTTTGGTTAACTCGGCTAAGGGTCTAACTATCTTATTTAGCTTTTCAAACAACCGGCTCTTAGGTTCATTGATTCTTTGTATTGTTTTTTGTTGTTGTTGTTGTTTGTTTGTTTCTATTTAATTAATTTTTGCTCTGATTTTTGTTATTTCTTCTCCTCTGCTGGGTTTGGTTTCATTTGTTCTTGCCTTTCCAGAGGCTTGAGTTGCAATGTTAAGTCATTTATTTGTATTCTTTCTGATATTTTAATGTAGGCACTTAAAGCTATAAAGTTCCCTCTTAAGACTGCTTTTAAAGTGTCCCAGAGGTTTTGTTGTGTTGTATTGTCCTTTTCGTTTAATTCCAGGAATACTTTTATTTCTTTCTTAATTACAAAATACTTTTAAAAAAAGAATTTTAGGTACCAAGTGTGGTAGCATGCGCCTTTAATCCCAGCCCTCAGGAGGCAGAGGCAGGTAGATCTCTGTGAGATCGAGACCACTCTGGTTCATATCATGACTTCCAGATGGGCTGTGACTTGGAAGACCCTGTCAAAAAAAAAAGAATTAAAAAAAATTTAAAATCTTATCAGGCGAGATAGTATGCTTTTAGTTCTAGCACTCTAGCTCTTGAGAGGCAGAGGCAGGGGGATCTCAGTTCCAGGCCAGCCAGGGCTGCTCAAAAAGAAAAGATTTTTAAAACTTTGACCAAGGATTCCTACTCTTACTTACCCCAAGATCACAGTTTGATTGTGTTGTAGAATGCTGGTACCTTCAGCACCTGTCATTGGCTTACAGCAAAAAATAAGACATTCCCTCTAGTGTACAGGAGATAATCATGAAACCAGGAGCAACAGGGAGACAAATTTTGACCTTGAGACTTGCAGAGCTGTATTTTTGTAGTTATTTTCTATTAGGCTTTATAAATGAAAACGGAAAAAACAAAAATACTCATTGATTTTTTTTTTAATTTAATTTTATATGTACAAGTGTTTTGCCTGCATGTATAGTTCACCCATTTCATGCAGTGCTCCCAGAGGCCAGGAGAGGGCAGTGGATCCTCTGGAACTGGAGTCAGGGATAGTTGTTAGCCGCCATGTGGGTGCTAGGAACCAAACCCAGGTCTTCTGCAAGGGCAGCTAGAGCTCTTAACAACTAAGCCATCTCTCTAGTCCATCACTGATATTTTAAAAACATAGCCCCAAATCCTGGTAGAGCACATACAGGTAGCAACCACTGGGGCATGTCCTTTTGTAAGTCTCAGGCAGCAAGATAGCCTGGCTTGGCTGGGCTGGAGATGACTCACTTTTAAGAACTTGCATAGCATAATAGCAACATTAGGAATTATGCATTTTCTGGGGTTTATAGAAACTGTTTTGATAATCTTAACTATGATTCCATATTTCCATTCAAAGGACACGTGTGTTTCAGCAACTTGGAGTACCTTGCCCTTTCCTTTGCTTGGGCTGGCCATTTGCACCATGATGCCCTGTTGCTCAAGTTTTAAACTGTTAAAGACACAAACTAGTCACATTTGTCTTTTGTTTGCAAATAATTTTTTGGCCAGAAGTATTCTAAAGTGTCGACACTCTGACTTAGTTTCTGTGAGGGACTTTAGGTGCTTCAGCATCCCAGCTCCCACTGTGTCTGCTCTGCAAGTGAAGGAAGCAGCCTGACATCTTGGGTACTGTCAGTGGTGCTGGAAGTAAGAGGGAGCACTCAGGGTCTAGGGGTAGGTGGGTTAGGACCAAGCACAGCTAGACTACAAGCAGGGAGACCAGGCCTTTTGACCTTAAGGAGATCCTGAATCACATTGGGTGGCTGCTCTCAGCCCCACCCCTGCCCTCTGAGCCTGCTTTTCTTCTTTACCTTCTCATTACCAAGGCAGCTGTGACTTTCTGTTGGGGCAGCCTAGGCAGCTATACATTCTTCATGAGGATGTTTGAAGAGAGAAGAGCTGTTATTTGAAAACACCTGTGAGTGAGTATGTGGCCTGACTCCCAAAACCTCAAGGGCTGCTCCTGATGCTGCTTTCCAAGATGTCAGCAGTGGTCTTGGGGTTGAATTTTGAACTTAGACTTGACAAAGGAAGCCTGATGACATGTGATCTCTTATTCACTGGCATGTGCCCTGTGTCTAGGGCAGTGCCTGATGCACTTGAGGGTGGGAGGTAGAACAAAGAAAAGGGAAAGGAAAGGGGGGCGGAGAGGGAGACGGACAGAAACACACAAATATACACACATACATAATTTAAAAAAATACTGGGGGGCTGGAGGGATGGCTCAGCGGTTAAGAGCACTGACTGCTCTTGTAGAGGACCAAGGTTTGGTTCCCAGTACCAACATAGTTGTTATGAATTGTCCTTAACTCCAGTTCCAGGGGAATTCCGAAGCCCTCTTCTGACCTCCATGGCATTGCACGACACAGGTGCACTCACATACATGCAGGCAATACACTCATATACATAAAATAAAAATAATAAAATATTAAAATAAATAAAATAATAAAAAAAATAATGGGGCTGGAGGGATGACTCAGTGGTTAAGAGCACTAACTGCTCTTGCAGAGGACCCAGGTTCAATTCCCAGCACCCACAATGGTGGCTAACAACCATCTGTAACTCCAGGTCCAGGGGATCTGATGCCCTCTTCTGACCTCCTCAGGCATTGCGTGACATGGTGCACCTACCTACATGTGAGCATTATACTCATACACATAAAATAAAAATAATAAATAAAAAAGAAAATATTAAAAAAATACAACCCTAAAAATAATCTGATTCTCTCCCCTCATTATGAAACAATTATGTTTAATGTGAAATATTTAAGTAATGCATAAGTTTGAAAAGTTAGAATGTATAAACATTACTACATTAGGGCCTTCTGATGTCTTTTGTTTTTCCTACATAAATCCTTAAAAAACTGGAATCAGGTCAGTGGTAGTGTGCCTAGTGTGCTTGAGACCCTGGGCTCCCTCTCCACATAGAAGAAAGAAAGAGAGTGAGGGAAAGAGGGAGGGAAGAGGATAGAGAGTGTTTCTCCAAATTTTTTTTCTCCCCCTTCTTAGAGGACACTCAGGTGCCCACTGAGGCTCCAGGGCTCACAGACCAACATAAGGCATTTCTACTTGGGTTTTGCATGCTTTACATGACATTTGGGTGGAGGTGACTTAAAAGAGACAGCTTTTCATAACCCACGTGGCATTCAAACCCGTTCACAGCTTTCCTGGAGTTCCAATATAGCAGCCATGCTAACTCTTCATCTCTCAGTGGCTAGGCTAACTCTCCTTCCCAGTGTGCATTCACAGCTGTCCTTAGCCCTGCCCCTTAATGCGCTCAACTCCTCCTGCAAAGCACGGAAGGAGGTGGGGCCAGGACTTATCAGTGGAACATCAAATCACAGAGGGACTGGGGAGAGAGATGGGGGTGTGGATCATAACAAAATACCACACACCTTATTTTATGAGGTGCTTTATAAATTTACAACTATAAACAGCTGTCCACGTTCTTAAGTAGGCTTTAGAGCAAGTGAGATGGCTCAGCAGATAAAGGCTCCCAAACCTGATGATCTGAATTTGAGTCCTGGAACCGATATGGTAGGAGAGAATCAACTCCTGCAAGTTGTCTTCTGACTTCCACACACATGACTAAATAAATAAACAGGAAAAAAAAAAGAACTCTGCTTAGTGGCTCCACAGTATTCCATGAATGGATTTAAATAGTATTGTGCTTTTTTTGCTTTTTTTGTTTTGTTTTAGGTCTTTTTGAGACAGGGTCTCCCTGTAACTCCAGCAGGCCTGGAGTTCACTATGTAGATCAGGCTGGCCTTGAACTCACAGAGGTCTGCCTGCCTCTGCCTCCTTCCTGAGTTCTGGGATTAAAGGCATGCACCACCACGTCTGGCTAAACCGTAGTGTTTTTAGACTTAAAATCAGAATCAGTAAACTCTATTGCCATCCCATACCTGGCCTTTCCATCGTTGAGCTGCTGTGGCCACTTCGTGCTGGCGAACTAGAGTTGTTTCCTGGCTGCTGTGCTAGTGGGCTCATGGCATACTTCTCTTGCTTTCAGAAGTAACTGGAGAGGCCCGTCCTTACCATGGGAAGGAGGCTGTGGACCCCAGGCGGACCAGAGGAGGCAACCCCACACACTTCCACACAGTGAACGTGGCTCAGCCTGTGCGCTTCAGCAGTAAGTTGCAGACCTGCCTTGAAGGCAATGCCTTCTAACGTGTTTGTTAGGCCACCTTGCATGTTTGTTAGCCCACCTCGTGACCTGACTCCGCCCTGGCTCTCTCCAGGCTGCTGCTGAGAGATTGGTTTACCAAAGCAGCCTTTGAAGATGTTGGGGGTGGGCAGGAATGAGGCAGCATGTTAGCCTGCCTAAGATCTAGTTCCCAAGTGGTGAATGAGACTTGTACCCAGGGAGGCTCAGGAACCAGGCTGCATGTTTTCACATGGTGCTGCCTTTGGAGGTAGATAGCGCCGACTGGCCCCAAGGCAAATCCCATAATAAAAATTAGTAAATGAATAACCCATGGCATTAAACTTCTAAAGGAGCATAACAAGGTTGAAGAAGAGTGACTAGAATAAAACACAGTTGAAAATACCTTGAATAGATATACTGAGGTGATGACACTCTTAGGTACAAGAACAGCCAGATTTGGGGGCAGGAGAACTGACACTTAATATGCCTGCTGCAAGGCATCAGGGTCTGTTTCTTATGTTAACACTCAGCCCACAGCCTCAGCTTGGAGAGTGCCTCAGAGGCACCTTTCAAACCTGGCCTGTGTGCAACCTCTCCCCATGTAGACAGGAGAGGAAACAGTGGGCTTGCTGGCAGTAGAGGCTAGAACAGCCAGACCTGGGGAATTTACTCTGCCCACTCCCTACAGGGCCTCATAATGAGACTGGAAATTATGCTGCCTTGTTAACCAGACTTAATAAGAGAGTGAAATCTGCATTAGAGAAATTATTTCAGCAGCTATTACTGACTACTAAGAAAACTGAAGAACCATGTGGAAATGAGTGTGCTCTCTGCATGTGCTTGCACTAAAGGCTGAATTTGTATTTTAGAGAGATGAGCATTGGTACAGAGTGGGTGATCTTAGGGCCAGGAGCATTTTACCGTAAGCCTCAGATTCCATTTCTCTAGGGTGATTCTGAGGAGTTTCTATTGCTGATACAGCACATATGTTTTATACAGTTTATATTTCAAAAGCCTTTGAAATCATGATCCTAATTTGGGGGACAATGCCCCTTCCGCCCTTCATGTTTCCTAGGGAAGTGCCCAACAGGGTGGCACCACTATGAAGGCACAGCCAGCTGCTACCGGGTCTACCTTAATGGGGAGAACTACTGGGATGCTGCACAGACCTGCCAGCGTGTGAACGGCTCCCTTGCCACCTTCTCCACTGACCAGGAGCTGCGCTTTGTCCTGGCCCAGGAATGGGACCAGCCAGAGCGGAGCTTTGGCTGGAAAGACCAGCGCAAGTGAGTCCTGGAGTTTGGAGTCTGCTCATTGCTGAACTCACGAGCACTTGCGGAAGGAAAATCCCCCTTCACTAGAAGCAGGCAGAGATCCAGGAATTTAGTGTGGGCCAAGATGGAGTTGGGGGCTTGTGAAGGGCCAAGGATGGCAGGGCCCTGTTGCTGCTCTGCTGAATCCTGGGCTAGCCCCTTCAGTTGGTCCCCCTATGGATACAACTATACTTGGTAGATGCAGCCAGATTATGCCAGCTCGAATCCCAAGGTGCTGCTCAGTGTGAGGCACTGGGCCTGGTAAGAGGGGTGCACAGGTGGGTAGAAGTTCTTTCTGAAAAAGTGAGCCCTGCCAGCTCTACTTGGTATTTTCTTGTGAGCCTTGTCAGGCTTCTCAAAAACCTCGGGCTCTCGGGTACATGTACATGTAACCACTGACAGGTTCACTGGGCATGTACCCAGATTCCAGCCCAGGCAGTCTGCCCAGCACCTGCCACCTGAACCCCAGGTTCCGTTCATCAAGAGGAAGCAGGAAAGTGGCAGCCAACGGAAGGCTCAGCATTTGGAGGGCTTTTGTTTAGGGAACAAGCTCTCAATGTGCCACCTAGAGGCTGCACCATGCTGCCCTATTCATGCTGTAGGGGTGGAAGTTGGCAGCCAGTTGTCTCCCCTTCTCTTGAAGAAAGCACAATTCTGTAGGGTCCAAAAGATGGCTAATGTTCCTGCCAGTCACCTGCTGCCTTTCCATGATGGCACAGCTGCCACTCTGCCAGGGGAGCATGATGACCCAAGGCAAGCAGCCAGAGGGCCATTTTAAGATAAACTGCAGTTATGTCCCTTTTGATGCTAGCAAACTGGAAAAACAAGCTGTTGCTCCTGCAGTTGCAGTGTCAGAAAAATTGATCTTCTTTCACAGATCACTCCAAGGAAACACCTAGAAGTTCGGTGGAAAAGCAGAGGGCATTTGCTTGCGGGGATACCTTGGTTCCCTGGTGTCCACATGAATACACAACTCGGGCTGCTCATGGAAGTCATGTACACTCAGTGCAGTCTAGGGCAGAGTGGCCAGGGCTTTTCATTCTCCTGTGGCAGTAGGTCTCCTGGAAGGCATCTCCAGGACTGAGATTGGAAAGCTGAGGCAAAGTGAGAGGGCACAAACTTGACAGGTACTTATAACATTCAGTCAGGTCCACGTGCAGAGTGTCTCAGTGTTTGGTGGCATGGACTTCATGCTACAGGCAGACCTAAGGTGGGCTGGCTATAAACAGAAGGCTGTGAATATGACAGAGTATGTTCACAGGTTTCTGTTTCTTTGGCATATACTGTTCTGTGATTTTTAACATATTCAGAATTATGTTCCCAGGGTTTTATGTCTAAGGTCATCCTGGCTTTGAATGTAAAAGTTTTATGGGATCTGTTAACAAGAACAGGCATGGAAGGAGTTAACAGAGGTAAAACTTTCTAACCTGTGAGTTTATTGTTTAGAACTTTAATGCATTTCATTAAAATTGAACATAAAACTTAAATAACTTATGTTTTAGAAGTTGGTTTTTTAGAGGCAGTATAACCATTAAAACACATACATAGGGCTGAAGGTATAGCTCAGTGGTAAGAACTTACCTGGCATACATGAATAAAACACTGGATGTAGTGGCACACACCTGTAATTCTAGCTGCTCAGGAGGCTGAGCCAGTAGGTCACAAGATAAAGCTAGGCTGAACAACTTAAGGAGAGGTGTTCTAGTTTGCCTTCAGTTGCTGTGACAAAACACTGACCAGTACCAACTTGGAAAGGAAAGGGTTTATTCTGCTTATGTCTCCCAGGTCACAATTCATCAGGGAGCCCAAGGCAGGAACCTGGAGGCAGAAGGTGGAGCACAGGCCATGGAGGAATGCTTCTTATTGGCTTGTTCCCCTGGCCCCTGCTAAACCTACTTTCCTATACAACATAGGCCCACCTGCCCAGGGGTGGCACCACCCACAGTGGGCTGGACCCTCCCACATCACTCAGTAGTCTAGAAGATGTCCCACAGACATGGCCACAGGCCAGTCCAATGGCGGCAGTTCACCAGTTGAGGCTTCCTCTACCTAGATGTGTCAAGTTGACAACTAAAGCTGTCCAGCACAAGAGGGAAAGAGGAGGGAGGGAAAGAGAAAGGGAGGGAGGAGGGAACAAGGAAGGAAGGGAGGCAAGGAGGGAGGGAGGGAGATATAGCTCAGTAGTAGAGTACTTGTCTTGCATACTTGAGCCCTTGGGACCAAAAAAGATAAATAAATGTCTCTAATGCTACTAAATAAATAAATATATGCATACATAGTCATCAGTGACTACTTCTGTCCTCATGCTGGGGTTTCACTTTCTGTCTTCTGCAGGCTGTGGGTTGGCTATCAATATGTCATCACTGGCCGGAACCGTTCCTTAGAAGGTCGCTGGGAAGTAGCATTCAAAGGTAAATATTTGTGGTTGTTGAGTTTGAAATGGGGAACAATTCTATCTCAGGATATTGCTGGAGTCTCCCTTCCTGTCTCCTCCCACGCAGTAGTGCCTGACTCGTAAGGCCACCTGGGACAAGACACATGAAACTGAAGAATAGTTACAGGGAGGATACTCTGGGCTAGAGTACTGCCCAGTAGTCAGGCCCTGTGTGGTTCTGGGACCTTCTCTGGAGCCACAGGTGCCTCTAGTACTTGGCAGTCCTCAGAGTCTATGGTTGATGGTCCTGTCACCACCAGGACCCCTTGAGGACTGTATGTGACAATCTGCTGAAGGTCTGTATGTCTGGCTTCACCCTTAGTCTTCCCCCACAGGCTCCTCAGAAGTGTTCCTGCCCCCAGATCCCATCTTCGCCTCTGCCATGTCTGAGAATGACAATGTGTTCTGCGCCCAGCTCCAGTGCTTCCACTTCCCCACCCTAAGGCACCATGACCTCCACAGCTGGCACGCCGAGAGCTGCTACGAAAAATCTTCATTTCTCTGTAAAAGAAGTGAGTCTGCTGGGGTCAGCCTCTAGTGGGCTCTGTCCTTGGTGCTCTGAGGTAGATCCACCCAGCTGGCATCTAGCTCTGTTGCCTGGGCAGCTGTGGGTATCCCTGATTCCCTGGTTCTCTTTCCTGGGATAGAGAACATAATTCCTACCTTATCTGCTAGTGTTAAGAGAGTAAGAGTGGTAATCTAAGGACTTTCCAATCCTGTGACACCTCTGGCACATCTGAGGGCCTTAGTCATTTTACAGTCAGGGTGTCCTTCTCTTTGCTCCCCTTGCCTTATCTGGATGACTTCTCTTTCCCGGTCTGTGTCGTGTCCAAATTCTTTCCTAACCTCTGGCAACACACCCAAATACACCCTACCAAGGTGACTACACTTGTAGTGTAGACATGCCTTGAAAGGGTAAAACTCTCTTCTACCTAGTCCTCTCTGAAGGGGAGGAGTAAGGTCAGCTTTGATAGCTGCTGTTGTATGTTTCAGGTCAGGTGTAATCTCAGCTCTGTCCATGTGGACTATTTCCTCCCCTGCTAGCAGTGTCCTAGACCAAAATTGCACATATCTGAGCCTGGCTCTGGTCTGTTTTCTGACCCTTGTTCTCTATTAGTTTCTGTCACTAATAGTGTTTGTGAGTTTTGTTGAGTTTGAAATGGGGAACCATTCTATCTCAGGATATTGCTGGAGTTTGCTCTCTATTAGCTTGTGTCACTGCCACACTGCCACCGTACAGCAACTCAGTCTAGACCTTGATGTTTAGAATTTTAGAATATCTTCCTCTCCTTTGGCCACGTTGCCACTTCCAGACCTTTTTGTCTTCTACATGAATTTTTGGATTTTTTTTTTTTTTGGTCTTTTTGAGACAGGGTCTTCCCTGTAGCCCCAGCTGTCCTGAAACTCACTATGTAGAACATGTTGGCCTTGATCTCACAGAGATCTGACTGCTTCTGCCTCCATAGTGTTGGAATTAAAGAGGTATGTCACCACACCCAGTAGGAGGTTGTTCTTTTTAAATTGTTTTTTGTAATTTTTGTTTTATAGGTATGAGTGTATTATCTACATGTATATAAGAACACCATGCTGTGATGTGCCCCC